TTGGGGGGGGGGGGGGGGAGTGGGCCCTTTGTGTTTGAGTGCTTGGTGCTGGGCAGAGCTAATTAGGAATGTCCCATGTATGGCGGGGGTCAGCAGTGTACCAGCCCTGGACACTGGGGTGCAATCCTAGGGAAAGCATCCCTTCTAGAGTATTTGGAAGGACCTTATGCATAGAGGTGAAATTTCCAACAAATTCAGAGTTCTGAGTCCAGAACCTGAGGCCTGACCCCACTACGACAACACGGCCACAGGATTACCGGCCCATGCCCTGAGGACTATGTGTTTGCAGCTCAGGATGAGAAGAGAAGCTTTACCAGAAGAGTCTGTCTGGGGCCGGCCTGCAAGTTCTCTGGGGAATCATCAGGGGTGACCTCATAGTGTAGCTGAAGGCCACAGAGTGATCCTAGCAGAGGGCCAGCTGGCACAGAAGCTGCTGGGCCCTGTGAGGAGGGCCAGCGCCACAGAGAGCACAGGTCTGGTGACCTCCACTTGTAGCTCCTTCCTCGAGACTATGCCAGATCTTAAGAATTCATAGGACTCTGGAAACAAGGTGAGTGACCCTTATTTGGTATTAATGGCTGGATGTCTCTTCTCTTCTGGAAGCCTTCCATTTGGAATGATGCAATTTGGGGAGACAATGAGCATCCAGTTGGCTCTCTGAAGAAGACATTTTCCCAGGTTCCTGTGTGAGGACAATGGGTTCAGGTAGCATGATTTCCCTGGATGACTCCGCCCTGAGTAGCACTTCTACAGCTACTCTACAGCCAGGGGATTGATATTACACTCCCACCAGGAGTGTAGTCTCGTTTTACTACTAACCCTAATAGCTAACACTGATGAGTGTTTATTACCTACAAACCTTCACTTCTGGGAATTTATCTTAAGGACGTAGTCAGAAATATGTATATGGAAGTCCATAATAGTATTCTTTGGTAAAGGAAGTTTTGAAACAAATGAGAGTGGCTTAAATAAATTATGATAAGTTTATGTAATAGAATGGATAATCTTATATAATAGAAATATAATTTGTATAATAGAATGTTTAGAATTTTCAACCATTACGCAAATTGTACTCAGTGATGTAAAAATATGAAGTATATAAAAATTGAACTTCCGGGGCCGGCCCGGTGGCGCACTGCTATAGTGCGCCACTTGGGAGCGCTGCGGCGCTCCCGCCGAGGGTTCGGATCCCACATACAGACCGGTTCCCGCTCACTGGCTGAGCGAGGTGTGGGCGCAACACCGAGGGTTGCGATCCCGTTGTCGGTCCCGGTCCGGTCCGGGCGCGACACTGAGGGTTGCGATCCGTTGCTGGACACGAAAAAGACAAAAAAAAAAAAATTGAACTTCCTTTCTTTGAAGCAGTGGGGGTGGGTGCATTGTTACCTGAGGAGCTCTGCAAATAAGGCTCACTCTCCCCTCTCCCGGCCACTCCTAGGGCAGCCGCTGAAAGAGGTCCAAAGGCTGACAGAAGAATTGTTAACAATGTAGGGAAATAATCATATAATATTAGGTGTTAAAATCAGAATAAAAACCATATACACAGTATGTCTTAATTTTATGAAACACTCTCAAATCCACACACAGCCATAGAAAAATGCCTGGGAAAAAACATCTTAAAGTAATGATGGTTGTCTCTTGGTTGGATTTTAGGGCATTTGTATTTTCTTTTTATTAGGTTTCTTTTTCTATTTTCCAAAATTTCTTTAATGAACATGTACCACAGTTATAATCAGAAAAGAAGTTATTTAAAAGAGGATTTTATTCCTTTCTCTCCCAAAATTCACCTCAACATTCAGTTGCCACCAAAACTCAGAGGTTTGTCCCTCTGGCGGTGTCACCCCCATGATAAAAAATTGTGTATATATATTACAAAGTTATGATTAAGTCCATCTACAGTGTTTCTTTTTTTTTTTTTTGGCTCTTTTCAGTTTATTGCATGAAGGAGTTACACTAGTCCAAGTTAATAGTGGACCCCAAATGGTTACATTATACAAGCTGTGAGGTTTTTAAACTTGTGACAAGGGACAGAAGGGAAATTCTACTCATTGCAAGGAAATCCTCACTTAAGCTTCAGTGAGCCACAAGCACTTAAAACCCATGAACCTTCAGCTGATCGTCCTTAGCCAGTCCAATCTCTACGAGGAACTGGCATATGTTCTTGCGCTGGTCACCCTGTAGCTGAATTACTTCTCCATATTCTGGATGCTCAATTACAGTACCATTGCAGGCAAACTTCTTCTTAAACGCCTTCACTAGTTTCTTTTTAACCTAATCATCAGCGATCCCTTGGACAGTAGTAAGGGTCTTCCTGCCGTTTCTCTGTTGAATTCTTATATGGATATAATCCTCAGTGCCAGCAGGAAGCAGGTCATCACCCTTACTTGCATCAGCAAAGGGGTCGAAAGAGTGGAGGTTCTGGATAGCGGACATACGATACGATTCCTTTTCCTCGGTGGAAACGGCCTGCGGAAGGCGGCGGCGGGAGAAGGCGGGCGGGGGGGACGGAGCGTCGGGAAGCGAGGGGGCTCGAGGGGGAGGTTGCTGAGTCCTCGGCGGCGGCTCAGTGACTGGGGCCCCATCTACAGTGTTTCAACTACTACAATTAAATAAATATGCTCATGGTTGAACCAAGTGGTAAACAATGACTACATTTCCTTTCCTACACTCCTTTGTTTTTCCTGGTGCTAATAATTATCTCATTTTTGGAGGCAGGGGGATGTGACAGGGATTGGACAAAAAAAAGAGGTTCTAGGGTGGTTGTCACTCTCCATTTCTACCTGGGTGATCATTACAAAGGTGTCTGCCCTATATTCTTTTAAGCTCTACTTTTGTCTTTCATGGTTTTTCTGTACCTGTTTAATTTTACAAAAAAAATTTAAATAAATAATGCAACAAGAACAACAACAAAAAAAAGGCTTTTTTTACTTAGTTTTTATTGAATGCAAATGTAAGTCTTTTCACACACACCCCCACCCCACCATGCAACAGTTTTGTAAAATAAATCTTCATACAGCTTTTCATACAAACCTGCCCCAAACTCTATCAGCACCATTTTCTCCTGGACCCTGCTGGGTGCATGCCATCCTCCAAGACTGGTCTGATTAGCTGCTCTCCAGGCTTGTTGCTGGGCTATCAGCCTGATACCTTTTCTCACCCCTTCCTGTGTTAGATTCCCTTTCCCTTGGATCCACACTTTCTTAGTTTTAGTGAAACATGGGCATATGTGAGAGATGTTTTTTGAGATTCTGCATGTCTGAAAATGCTTTATTCTACTCTCATATGACTCATAGTTTGGCTGGGTATAGAATTCACAACTAAACATCATTTTTACTCTAGAATTTTTTAGGACAATTTCCACTGCGTAATTTTGTTAGTAAGAGGCTTTATACCATGCACATTCCTAATCTTTTTTGTCTATTGTTGGAATCTTCTCTAAGCCTGGTGATTTGAAAGGTCATGTTTGTACGCCTCAGGGTAGATCTGTTTCATTCATGGTGCTAGGTAGTGGATTTTCTCTGAAGACCTCATGCTTTGGTTCGGGTAAATTTTCTGTACTCTTTCTTTGATAATTTCCTCCTCTGAGCTTTTCATGAACTGTTAGACCTACCGGATTGAACCTCTACTTTTCTTATCTTTCCCTCATTTTTCATCTGTCTTTTTGTTCAACTATCTGGGAAGTTTCCTTTATCTTTAAACGTTTCCTTAATCTTTAAATTTTTACAAAATTTTTTTTTCTGTTGTCATCTTTTCTAATTTCTATGAGCTTTAATTTGTCCTTTTTTAATGCACCCTATTTCTATTTCATGAATGTTGTATCTTCACTTATTTCTGAAGAATTATGGTGGCTTTGACGTGTTCTATCTATATTGTCTATTTTCATTGAATTCCTGTTTACCTGCTTATTTATTTTGGTCTCTTTCATGTTGGACCTTTTCCTCTCATGTCTGAGATCCTTATTGCCCATCCACATTTGAGAGTAATGCACTGACAACTTACAAGGGCACTTCTTGTAAATGAGGGTACTTGGTTGTGGGACCACTGCACGGAAGACCAGCTGTCTTATTTTGGAATCTGCCAGTTGGTTTGTTTACTCAAAGAATTCTTCAAAGAACCATTTTCCAATCTCCTGCTGGAGAAGGAAGAGGAGAGGCCGGGCTGCCAAAGTCTTAGAGTTAGCTGGAAAAGACAATAGCTAAATCTCACTGATACTCATAGTCTGTCCCTTACCCCCACCCCCATTATCCAAACAGCCCTCACCACTCACCCACTCTATGTCTGTATCCCCATGTCCAGAGCCTCTGTTTCTGTCTCAGGGTAACATACCTACTGTCCCCTGTGGAGACAGAAGAGTGGTGACCAAGCTGTAGGGGTGGAGAGTGACAACAACTTGAAGGTCTAGCTGAAGCTTACACACAATTTTCAACTAACCCCTCTCTTCATCCCCAGCCTTAACCCCATCTTCCTCATATCTGGTTCCTCCAATTTCTGATTCTTCCTGAGACCACTTGGGTGCTTAGGTTTGACCCACATTTACTCCACCAAATGAATGCTGTTCCTCCATCTACTTTCTGTCTTCATGTAGTATGATTTGGAATTACAGATATGTCCTAGTTTTATTGAAAAGAGTGACAGAGCATTTGTTTTTTCTTCGCTTTTGGAGTGATTTTGAAAGGAGAAGAAATGTCTTCATACCACCATTTAACCATCTCCACCTTGGTTTTCAGTATAACTGTGATTATATTTTTGGTTTCCTTGATCCTCTAAATTTTCTACAATTAACATGTATGACTTTAATAAGCAAACACACACACAATTATTTAAACACGGACATATCCAACAAGGCCCGGAGCACCCATGCCTGCACCTTCCTCCCTTGCTGAGCCAGCTGGGCCTGGGAAGCCCCCTTGCCTTACACATCTCAGCTCCCTGACACCTGTCAGAGAGCACCACAGCCTCCTTGTCTGGGAGCTCATTCTGGGGTTCCTCACCACTGGGCCAGGGCTGGTGACCAAATAGCCTTTGCCAACCATGCCAGCTCATCTATGCACAGTGTGGATCCCCTCACACATTCCGAATGGTCATGGCTCCAAAGCCACAAGTTTTCATAAAGAGAAGTGTGTGTGTGTGTGTGTGTGTGCGTGGTGTGTGTTGTGTTGCCACAGCACGCAAGGGTTTCCATTCCTGCCTAAGCTATTCCAGTCAGCAGGATGTTGGCATTCCCTGGGAATCCTCCATGACCACTTCGTATAGACCTCTCCAGTGCCCCCGCTTGGACACACCACGAGTACCCCTTCTGAGGCAGGCACCCTGGGGCCTGGAACACTCTTGAACTTCACTGGCTCTACCAGATCCAAGGGAATCCAAGCCCCTGAATCTAAAATGCTCCTCAGGCCCATACAAGGACTGCATTGACAGGACTAACAGAAACCAGTCAGGAATCCCAAAGCTGCAACTACTCACATACTCCTCGGGCTCTATGATTAGGTTCCACACTGGCCTGAGCACACTGTCATTTCAGTTGTCTCAGGTAAGCACTAAGGATTCCAGGCATGCTTTTCCTCCTCCTCCTCCTCCCTTCCAGGCACCTTCAAGCTTCAAGCACTCCTCCCTTCACTCTCCAAGAGCCTCCACCTCCTTTACCACCAGGAATGGCAGGCTTTACAGCCTGACCTACAATTAGATTCTGCTGGGAATCCTATGAGAGTTGACCCAGCCAATTAAGTCAGGAAGTCACTCTCTAAATTTGACATGTCCATCATTCTCACCCAAAATGGCAGCATTGATTTGGTGGGCTAAGGCTTTGAGGTTAATTTTACTTAATCCAGTAAAAACTGCATTAGGCTCCCCCCACCTCACTGGTTTACTCATTTCTCAATTTTGGTTTTAATAAACTCAGCATTGTAAATACCTTATTAAGTAACCCTCAATACTCCCCCGCAGAACTCGCACATCTCCACCCTGGAGCTGCTGCCTGCAAGGGCTGCTGTGGTGTTGCCTTTGGTGTACCTGTGTCCCCACTGGTGAACCTGTTTATCTCCAACCTCATTTCCAAAGAGGACTTAGGGCAATATGTGCGTGTGTACCTACACCCACAAACGGAAAGATAATCTCTACTAAAGTCAAACTCTGCTTGGGCCACTTCCTCCACCTTGAGAAGACTATCTGCTACCCCAGTGTGTTGCTCTGGTGGACTAGGCTGTGCCAAAAGGAGCCCACACACATATGCACCCGAACACAGTTACACTGGAGACTGGATATCATCTTTAATTAATAATGCCATAGGCCAACATCTTTTCTGTTGCTGTAGCAGATGTTGAGAGTGTGTGTGTGTGTGTGTGTGTGTGTGTGTGTGTGTGTGTGTGTGTTCCTGAACAGATGAGGGGCCAGCTCAGACTCCCAAGCAGGTCTCGGCCAACGACTTTGTTGAGCAGCAACTACAAGAGTTTCCAGAGAGGCTCGGAGGCCAGACTCCTGCTTCCCATGGTCTGTAGCCTCCCTTTCTCATGGCCACTATCATGAATCGAGGGCAAGGCTGAGGCTTATGCCAGCCCAGATGAAAGGGCTTCTCAGCGAAGATCAGCCTCCAGTCCCCAGCCCTCACTGCCTCTGCCCAGAGGGATGGCCCTGGGTGAAGCACAGACTGCTAGGCAGAGGTGGACAACCTGGCCTGGCCCTGGTACCCTGTCACACTGGGGCAGCACCACAATGGCCCAGCCCTGGGCAGAGAATCCACAGCTACTGGGGCCATTTGTTTAGTTCCTTTTGGAGATAATCAGGATGTAGCCCCAGGTTTTCTTGGGACCAGCCAGAGGGCCAGCATTGGCTAACGATGGCCACAAGAAGTTACTTCCAACCCAAACTAAGAACCTGCCCTCCTGCCACCTCCACTCTCCAGTTCCTCACATGCCCAGTAGGTCTGCAGCCCAGACATGGCAGGGGATGGTCAGTGTCATGGTGGGTCACAAGGCAGCCATGAGAGACCTGGGTTGAACTGGACCTGCAGCCATGTGTCAGCCTGAAGCCAGCCCTCTCCCCCATGGTCAATGCCACACAAGGCTCTCTGAAGCAGGATGGGACCCCCACAGACAAGGCAGCAAATTATTGGCCTAGAGGGAGAAAACCAAACTGGCTCCACTGTCCCATCTCCACCTGCTCTGTGCCTTAGGAAGGCAAGGAGCTCGAGTCCCCAGGATGGTGGTATCAGCTGTTGGGGAAGCACCGTTGTCCAGGTGAGGCCTCGGGCCGGAAGCTGTGTTTGTTCAGGGGGCTTGGGTAATAGGTGGTTGTGTACACATTGGTCTGCTGCAGTGGGTAGAAGTTGGCTCTGTCATCGGGGATCAGGTTATTCTTGTTCAGCGTCTGTGGGAGGAGGAAGGAACCAGAGAAGAAGGAGTGAGGGGAGAGATGGGGAAGGGGACAAGCCAGGGCAAGGTGGCCAGGAGCCAGCCAGTGAAGGAACACTCAGACTGCTGACACAGTGCCTGCTCACACCACCACTGCCGCCTCCCGAGCGCCAGCCCAGTTAAACCCAGCTTAGGGCCAGAACCACTGTGCCCTTCACCCTGCCCCTCTACCCTGCCCTCTGCTTCTGCAGCACGGCTCCCACCTTGAACTCCATGGGTGTGTACTTCTCGTTCTTGGGCGTGCCTCCACTCTTGTAGTGCAGGTGGTTGGGGGTGGCGGGATGGACCAACGTGGACTCTTGGGACTGGCGCTGGCAGTGCTGGCAAGACAGATACACTGCCAAGGTCAGGAGTCCAGAGCCTAGGAAGCATGAGACACCGGTGGCCACCAGGTGGATGAGACTGAACCCTGGGAGGAAGAGAGGCAGGTGATAAGAAAAGGGCCACTGAGAGACTTCTGATTGCCTCCCTGGGGGCAGAAACAGCAGTAGAAGGCTCTGAGACACAATGGAAACAGGGAGGCTGGGTAACTTGTCACTGGGGGCCTCTCTCACAGGACAATCTGTGGCTTAGAGTTGACTCTTCCTTGGGTACAGACTGATGATGGCCTCCCAGCTGGGGGGCATGGATGGGATCTACCCAGACCCCCCTACACATGGCCTCAAAGCAGTGGGGCACCCCCTGCTTGGCTGTCTGGAGCGGGAGGTGGGAAGAATTCAGACTCTGGATTGGGGTGGAGGAGGGGTAGAAAGACAGAGTCATAAGGTGCGGCTGGTTGCTTTTACCTCCGCAGCCGGTGGCCTCTTCCATGCTGGACGCTGGCAGGATCACTGCAAGAAGACAAGGGGAAAAGGTGTCAGGAGTAGAGAGGAGAGGAGGGGTCCCTCCTGGGCTAGGTGCGTCTCTGGGAGGACCGCTGGGTGAGCACTGAGCTATAGGACAGGGCCTGGGGGCCTTCATCCCCCCCCCCCCCCCCCGTCTCTAAGAGTGACTGGCCCACTCACTAGATGAGGAGTGGGTGAGCTCACGGTGGGAAGGGCTGGTGTGGAGAAGGTGGCACGAGGACCTACCTGGAATCTCACTGTAGGGGCAGGGGCGGCTCTGGCTGCTGTTTCCGGCACAGGCGCTGGGCCCTGGGACGAGCTCCTCACAGTGCCGGCTGCGGCTCTGGGCTCCATCCTCAGTGCACGCACTCCACTCAGACCACGGCGACCAGCCTTCTGTGGGTTGTGGATTGGGATGAGGTTAAGTTCCCTGGAATGCCCTGGTGGGGATTAGAGGGCTCAGTGGTGCTCCCCAACCCCAGCCAGATGCACCCAGTACCTGGGCAGGCTTGTGTAGCACAGAGTGCCTCCTCTGTGTGCAGCCCGAGACAGATGTCCTCACCTGGGGAGGGCGCAGGGCTGGTGCAGGAACGTGTGCGTTGATAGTGGCCCCCGCCACAGGAGGCTGAGCATGGGGACCAGGAGGTCCAACAGGACCAGGCACCCCGCACTGTAAGGGGATGGTGTGTGAGGGAGACTTGGTCGGGGGGGGGGGGGAACAAGGCCCAAGACAGTCTTCCCCCCCTTCCCAAGCCAGGCCACTCTCTTGGGCCACACTGACCTTAACATCCACCCACACTCAACAGGCCACTGTTAGGGAGTGCCCCACCCCAGGGGTGTTAGGAGAAACGCAGGCAGCAGCAGATACACAGAAGGGAGAGAAACGACCACCACCTCAAATCAAGCTCCTGTATGGTGCCTTCCTCAAGGCTGTTTATATGGAATTCCATAAAGGTGACTTACAGACAAGAGCATTAGGGGAAAGAAAAAACTGACCCACAAGGTGAAGAAAGGCCCTACTCCACCAGAGTAGCCACTGTATCAGGGCAAAAAATTGCTCTGGGGCCCCTTGCACAGAGTTGGCAGGAAGAGGAGGCCACATGGGCATGGGGGTTTCTGGGCGCCGGGGATTCCCAGATGATGGGGTTTTCCCTGGGCCAAGGATTCCTTCGGTGCAGGGTTACCTGGGCAAGCCTGGGGGTTGCAGTCCTGGTACTCGGCGGCGTCGCCCACACAGGGCAGGCCCCCGTTGCGGGGCTCTGGGTTCGTGCACGTTCTCTTGCGGACGCGGAAGCCCAGATCGCAGTCGCGAGAGCAGGACGACCATGGGCCCCAGGCGGCCCAGCCCCCGCTCTCCATTTGCGGGGAGACGCTCCCGCTGCGCAGGAGATCCTCCACCAGGGCTGCGGGGTGGCGCCGGCCTCAGCCACCAGACGCCCGGCGGCCCCGCCTCCCCCCAGAGCTCCCGTGTGCTGTTCCGGGGCCTCCCCACGCGCGTCCCCACGGCGCCGGG